GTATTTTAGGGTACATAATTCTCTTTTTAATGTTCCTATAGATAGAGAAGAGGAATTCCTGTAATTTATTTTTTTTTCCTTTCTGTGTAAACCACAAAACACAGGAGGCCTCCCTTGTTTTTTTCCCTAAAAATGGCTAAATCTGTTGTGGGGAGGAACTGTTGTGGCTGTATGAAGCACATGCATTTAACAAACATTCCACTCTCCCTCTCTTGGTAGCTCTTGGTGAACAAAAAACATCAAGCAGCTGACTCTGAACTGTATATAAATAAATGCAAAGCTGAAAAACCCACAAATCTATATCTTGTGACTGCTCTGGCTGCACAGGTGGCTCCAGCCTTTGCCAGGGCACGGGGCCTGCAGTTGGGAACACACATTTCTTTTCAAAAGTAGGTCACTGGGCAGTGGTACAGAGCAACCTACTTTCAGGAGAGAAGAATCTGGGGTCATGGAAATGTTTCCAACGAATCTGTACATTCTGGAACACAAGCTGGGTCTGTTTTTTAAGCAGACTAATGTCCTAGCAACAAGGTATCACTTTTACATGCGGCAATCTGTTTAGCTACCAGGTTTAGCTTGGGACAGGCAGCCAGGCCATCACAGGGTATGTGGCAAGTCCAGTTACTGTTCTTTGTTCAGACAAAAATAGGACTGCTTGACACAGGGAAAAAATATATATATTTACAGATATATATATATATATATTCCTATCTTATAACATTACTCACACCTTCCTCTCACTGTGTATGATGCAGTATAATTATATTTACAGTTGTGAAGATAAATATTGTCTCCCCAAGCCTGTAGCAGTGCAGTAAGGCCCAGGCTTGGCTCAAGTTCCACCCATGAGACAAACAGACCAGTGGCATGTCACTGCTTGTCCCTGTGCTGCCAGCCTGGAGGGGTACAGAAGGAGTGAGTCAGAACTCAAAGTACTGTGAGATTGACTGTGATATTCTGAGATTACCAAAAAAAGACAATTCCCTCGATTTTGTTTTTATAGCCTTGTGCTAAAAATACCTTCACTAAACAACGTTTTTAAGAAGCCACTGACTTAAGGAGCTGAAAGAAAAAAAAAATAAGAAAAACAAATACATTGACAGTAAAAAGATGAAAATTAGTGATACTTCTCTGCCTCCCTGTTTGTCTAAAGCCTATTTTAACTTTGTAGGATACATGGGATTCAGCTTTCAGATCTGTGCTGCCATGAGAAAGAGGCTTGGGCAGGTCTGGGTGACACAGAGGGACATGTGACAGCTCCCCATGCTCTGCTGGAAGGAGATGTCCAAAGGGCATTTTATAAAGGGCTGAAATCACAGGTTTGTGCCCCGTGTTGTGCCAGTGAAAGCAACAGCTAATAAATAACTAGGTCTGTTCTAAAACTCCTTGCCTGCATCTCTCACTCTGCCTCCTGCCCGGGAATGTTTTGGATCCGATCCAAGCTGCAGTGCGGGGAGGGAGCTTCTTTGTTCACCTCCTCTCTGCCGCCTCTGAGCCCGTTTAGCTTGTGCTTTCTGGGGCAAGGTTTTCCAGCAAAACAGCAAAGAATTTCCTTAGAAAACAGGCAGACAGAAGAAGAAATGTCAGAAGAAACAGGCAGAAGAAATGAGTCCTAAACTGCTGTTAATCATTGCTAGTAAATTCAACAGAACCTCTGTAACAGTGAACAAAAACAAACAGTCAAGGCCTTCTGAACAGCCCGGGGGTGTTGCCTCCTACATTTTGTTTTCAGATACAGCTTGGGTCCTTTGATGGTGAGGAAAACGTCTGGAATGTTTCTCCCTCCACCACAGAGAGACTAAAATCCAAGCACTGCCATTTTTCCCCCTGAACAAACCACGTACTTGGAACCACCGCAGTTTTTAAAAGTGTGCTGTCAGCTGTACACAACTCCTAGTTCCCTGCTTATTAGATATAAAAAACATCCACAGTTCCTAATTCCCTTTCACCCACAAACATGTAGCTGCTTTCAGTGCTGCTTTGGGGATAAAAATGCTCTTCCAGGCAGAATTTCAATGCTGGCTGTGAGCCAGGGCTGCAGAGCTGAGTCATTGTTATACAAGCAGAGCTGAGATGGCACAGAAAAGTCCCTTTGTACTTTAACACTCAACACGTCAGCTGCTGTTGGCCTTTGAGCATCACAGGACACCTACACAGAACCAACTGTAATTTACTGGACTTTTCCTCTTGTCCACCCCATCATCTGTCTGGATAATTCTTCCTTTTCCATTTTTCCTCTCAAGCTTAACAGCAAACACATTTTTTGTCAAGCTGTTGGCCTCTCCTAAAGCCTGGCAAACATTGCGTCAGCTTTGGAAGCAGTGAAACGAGAGCTGTTAATTCTGGGCACTGGGAAAGTGCTGCCCAAGTACACTGACAATACAACATTTAACCACTGAAATTTAGGGCTCTCAGCTCAGAATATCTCTGACATTTACCGTCATCCAGAGTTCCACCGTAAAGCTCTGGAATTGTTTATGTGAGACTCAGTTTTTTGTTCTGAGTCCTTCGTGAAAAATATGAAACAAATGAAAAAAATAGAAAGGATTTCTTTACTATGGCATTTTGCACTTCCATTTTTGTTCTCCAGTTCTTTATCCTGAAACATCACAGGGGAGCAGAATTTAGCTTCTCAAAACAGCTTCTGCATTTAAAATAAGGAGAACTAATTGTGGAGAGGCACAGAGAGTGACAGATTTGCAGACATCACATGAACAAACTCACTTCATTTTTTTCCTGGAACTGCTTTTTGAGAGTGCTGGTGGCTCCTGTCTTACAGAGGGTCATTTGTGTGAATCAATAGAACGAGCCCCTTAAAATGAGCTCCTAAAATTACACTCTGGCTTTCAGTGCTGAGTTCAGTGTTTTTGGGACAGGACAAACCGTGAGTGGTGCTGGCCATGCCCAAGGGGAGATGAATCCTTGCTGCAGCCAGCACAGGCTCAGTTTCAGTGCCTTCCCAATTTCACCACTGTGACTTTTTCCTCCCAAAATATGAGGTGACTGACATGTAATCTGGTTTGACTAAAGGTCTGGGAGTGGCTCAGATGAATTTGTCACCCAGGGTGTGTTCTCCTGCTTCCATTAGAATGAGTAACCGGAGCAGAGGTTCCATAAGGGATAACAGGAAATTTTAACTCGGTGCCCTTTCCAATCAGAGAGGTGCTGAGCCACAGGATTCTTATGCAAATCCTGGCATGTGCCATCCCAGGAGGCAGCCTGGACAGCGGAGTCACATGTTTTTAAAGCTTTTTAAAGCTCTTTTCTAGACCAGAGTGCTGATGGATGTTTATTCATCACTGTCCTCTTGCTTTGCCATGTTCCTGGCTGCCACAGGACCCTTTAGTGCCTCTTTGCCTCTCAAGACTCAGCTCACTTGTTTACATCTTTCCTCTTCTTGGAAAGAACATGACATTAAGTCCTGTTGATGACAAATTCTTGATTATATGTCAAACAAAAGAAATTTCCAGTCCTGCAACACTGGCACAAAGGTTTGTCTTTGGAATGATTATTTTTTTTCCCCAACTGAGTGTGATTTGGACACCTCCAAATTTTGTACTTTTCCCTGCATTGATAGTTTTATTTGAGAAACAGCACTGGATTTCAGTGTTCAAGAATAACTTTTTTAAATATATTTACCACTAAAGGGGTGATTTAATATTTTCCTATTTTTTGTTGTTGTGTATTTGGTTGCTTGTTTTGGTTTTGAGGTTTTTCTTTGGTTGTTTGGTTTTGGTTTGGTTGGGGGTTATTTTGCTTTTTAAGGTATGTACTCTCTTATTTTCAAGATTATGGTAACAGAATTAGTGCAAAGCTAAGTGGGAATCCTGTTAGAAGTCATTTCTCTGCAAAGTTGCCACAATGACTTCAAACCTCAGGAAGGCCTAAACACACTTCCGAAGGCACATCCTGTGCTGTCACAGCAATGCTGTGTTTAAATGAGGCTGTTCATAGCAGAGAAGTGAAACACCACAATTCCAGCAGCACCTTGGGTCTGCCGAACACCTTCCTGTCTGTGAATACGTGAGGAATCATGTTCACAAAGAGAGGGAAAACCTCAGGCTCATGCCTGTGGATAACTGGTATGCCTGGCCTCAGCCCTGGAATCAGAAAATCATAGAATCCTTAAGGCTGGAAAAAAACTTTTAAGATCACCAAGTGCACCTGTTAACCCACCACTGCCAAGTCCACCACTGAACCATGTGCCCAGGTGCCACCTCCAATAGTTCTTTGGACACTTCCAGGGTTGGTAACTCCAGCACTTGTGCGGCCTGTTCAGTGCCTCAGAGCGGCCAGCAGGAGCAGGGCAGTGACTGTGTGTGCTGGGCGCTGCTGAGGCCACACCTCGAATCCTGGGGTCGGTTCTGGGCCCAGCAGAACAAGAGAGACATTGAGTGGCTGGAGCATGTCCAGAGACGGGAACAGAGCTGGGGAAGGGGCTGGAGCACCAGGAGTGGCTGAGGGAGCTGAGGGGGGGACCTTCTCCCTCTCTACAGCTCCCTGACAGGAGGGTGTGGGGAGTTGGGATCGCTCTCTTCCCCACGTGACAAGGAAGGATGAGAGGACACGGCCTCAAGCTGTGTCCGGGGAGCTTTAGGCTGGATGTGAGTAAAAGATTTCTTCACTGCGCGTTCCCCTCGTTGTACCCCAGCCCCTCCCGGTCCCGCTGTGTCCCGGCCCATCCCGTGCCGCCCTCCCGCTTCCACCGTGTCCCCTTAGCCCCTCCCGTGTCTCCTCCCGGGTCCCCATAGCCCCTCCCGGGTCCCCATAGCCCCTCCCGTGTCTCCTCCTGTGTCCCCTCAGCGCCTCCCGGGTCCCCAGAGCCCCTCCTGTGTCCCCTCAGCCCCTCCTGTGTCCCCTCAGCCCCTCCCGGGCCGTGCGCGTCGCGGGGGCGCCCCCCGGTGGCGGCGGCGGAGGCGCGCATGGGGCGCGGCGCGGCGGGGGGCGCGCGGCGCGCCCGGCGGGGCGGCGAGGCCGCGGGCGGGACGCGCCGGGCCCGGGGCAGGAATACGGGGGGGACCCCGGCCGCGGCCAAGGCGGAGCCCGCCGGGCCCAGCGTCATCGATCTGGGGGCGCAGAGTGGGCGCTGGGCCGCCTTCCAGGAGCGGCACCGGCTGAGCTGCGAGGAGGCGGCGCGGCTGCTGCTGGACGCGTAGTGAGTAACGGGGCCGGGGCGGCTGCTCCGCGCTCCTGCCCGAGTCCCGTTCCCGGCAGCGTTCTCTGCGCGGCATCTGCACAGCGGCTCCGCGAGCTGCCGAGAAGGGGGGCCGGGCTGGGATGGGGAGGGGGCGCACGCATCACGGAAAAGAAGTGGCTTTCTGTGGTAAAGCTTCCCGTGTTTTACGGCTCTCCCATCGAAAATACCCTTGGGGGCTCCGCGAGGCTCAGCTTGTAAATCTCCACCCACTTCCTGTGCTCGCTCTGTGCAGAGCGCGGCACATCAGAAACTGTCCGTGGGAGGCAAAATCTGGAAGGAAAATGTTTTTGCGTTTTGCGATTGACCCGCACGGTGACTGCCCAGCTGCTGTGGAGGCGGCTCGGGGAGGGGGAGAAGCACAAGTTCAGAAATTCCTTGGTCATAAAGTTCCTCTGCAGTTACAACCAGAAATAAAAGACATTTCAAATATTATGTAGAATCTACTTATCTCTGCTTTCCCCAGCTTTTAAATGGAGGAATATTAGTGGTGTTGGAGGACCGGTGGGGAAATTCAGTTCTCAGTTCCAAGCAGTTTGTTTTGAGGCGATAGCCCTGGTTTATGTGTAGGGTTGTGTATGGACACAGCTGTAGGGTCAGCACTGTGACCTGGAGTGTGGTGGGAAGCTGTGTTGGACAGAGTGGAGAGTCCTCAAAGTGGTGCTCTTCTTTCCTTTTCACCATTTTAATTAAACCACAAAAGCAATTGGTGCAGAGGACAAAAGCCATCCTCTACCTCATTCTGACATATGTTATTAAATACATTTGAGTGGATGTGTTCTGCAAAAGCTCAAGACAGAACTGAATAATGTTGTGTATAGCCTTACTGTTCTCTTGGGCAAAAACCAAGAGAGATGGTCCCAAAAGCTCTCTTGTGTCTCTCTCCAGTGAATACAGAGGTTTGGTGAAGCACACAGGAGGCTGTCACTGTGGAGCCGTCCGCTTTGAGGTCTGGGCTTCAGCAGATCTGCACGTGTTTAACTGCAAGTGAGTTGGTTTGTTCCCTGTTCCCAGAGATGAGTGTCAGCTCTCTGCTTTTTCCAACCTTTGTGCTAAAGATGAGACAGCTGCAGAACACCCTCTGAGCTGTTTCCATAGGATTTACCCCTAATTATGTCCTGACCCACTAGAAGATCAATGTTGGTGATTTCAGGTGCTGCTTTGGGCAGGACTTCATGTCTCACAGCCAGGTTCACACAGAGAGTGTCAGGAGAGATCTAATGAGTACAGGTGCTCAGCCATCTGCTTTCTGTTTCATGCAGGGGGCTCAAAGCACATTGGTCTTTTTTTAACTTGTTCTTCTCAAATGACATTACAGCTCTGACCACATGTGCCTCAAACTAAAATACTCTCTGGTTTCAGTAGTGACCCTCCTTTGCCTGCAACTTGTTTGCTTCCAGCTCATAGGTGAACTTCTGAACTTTACTTTCTTGTTTGCAGGGTAATGAATGTTGGCAAAATTGCCCAAGTATGCTCTGAACAATTAAGAGGATTTCTCAGGGCTAGAGTTTGTCAAGTTTGTTGAGTTTGTCCTTAACAGTTGTGTCTGAGAATATCTTATTGGGGTACCTGTGTAGAGTCAGTCTGTTCACGGGTGTGCTCAGCAAAACACTACTGACACCACAAATCCACTTTTGCCACTTACCTCTGAGCCTTTCTAGGTGTCAGTGGAATTTCTGTTGTCAAGAGGTCTGATTGCTGCTCTACAACATGTCCACTTCTTCTAGAAAGGTCTGCTTTTTCTTTTACAGTTGCAGCATTTGCACAAAGAAACAGAACAGACACTTCATTGTGCCAGCATCACGTTTCAAGCTGCTGAAGGTATAGTAAGAACACAGTAAGAGCATGGCCATGAACACGAGCAGTGTTATCCTCAAAGAGCCAAGAACAAGCAGTTTTCTGCCCTAGGTTTGGTTGGTTGGGGGAAATGGCTGCAATTTAAGCTGTCTGGTGTGGTTGTGTTAGTGCATCTTGTTTAGAGCTCTTGCAGTTCCCAGGCCTGACTTATGTCCTTATGGACACTTAACATAGGGGTTCAGGGAAGGAGCAGGAATACACAGCTCTGTATCTCAGATAAAGACAGGAAGGTGGCATTTTAAATTGTTCATTTCTTAGCTACAGGCCCAAAGTAATTAATCTATCTATCTATTTCCATGGAAAACTTACAGTGCTTTTTCTTTGCTTAGGGTGCTGACAATTTGACAACATACACCTTCAACACACACTGTGCTCAGCACACATTCTGCAAGACCTGTGGTGTTCAGAGCTTTTATACTCCTCGTTCTAACCCCGATGGTTATGGTAGGTACAAAGCAAGCTGTGATAACCAGAGTTAACCACCAAGCAAACATTGGATAAATGCTCCATTGGATGCTGACATGACAGCAGTGAGCAGTGTGTGTCCTAAGAGTTTGTTCCTAAAGTGTTAATAAACACCTGGAACTGCAGTTTGAACCCGTAGCTCCTCCGTAAAAAACAATCTTACCTATAATGTGTGGGCTTTTTCCTGTGACAGGATTCTTATCCAGGCTCCTCAGCCTCAAAGCAATAGCATTTACAGTTCCCTGAGATGCCCCAGCCATGGAATGGAGCAGGCATCTCCCACATTTTATGAAAAGCAGGTTTCTGTGTATTATGTCTTTCTTCAGGAATAGCTCCTCACTGTCTGGATGATGGCACCGTGCAGACCATTATCACAGAGGATATCAATGGCAAGGAATGGGAGAAAGCAGTGAGGGAACATAAGACCATCAGAGACATGTCAAAACCCTGATACACCCTTCCAGCAGCCTTGGGAGCACTGCCATGGAACTGCAGTCTGGGGCTTCCTGCGTAATGGTTGGTGAAATCAATCTCTACTGCTACCTGTTGTCTGTTTCTTAAATAAATCTTTCTATGCTGATTGTCTCATTCCTTTGTGACTCAGTTTTCAAACTGCCTCTGCTCTGTATACCTCTCCAGGGTTTCTAGTTTGGCACTTTGCCTTTAGCTGTGCTAAAGTTTAAAGCACAATACAAAAGACCTCATTACAGTCACTTGCACCTCATTCCTATGTCCTGCTGAGACTCTTGTGAGTTGATCTTAAGCCCTGTTCTGAATCAAGAGGAAGAGCTCATATTTCAGGAGGGACATTGTGAAGGTGGAGCCTGCAACACAATGTGTATAAAAGAAGCAACAGCAAATGTCAGTGCAATTAGAAAAAATTGCACGATTTCTGATGTTTTATTCAAAAGCTTTGGCTTTTTAAATTTCTGACTGAATAACAAATGTGGTGTGGTTGTGATATCTGTAGAGATAACATGATCTTTGAAAAGTTACTCCTGATACCTGGATTTTACAAAAGCACCAAGGGAAAGTTGCCAAGCAGTCCTTGCAGCTCTATGTTCTTGGAGAAGCCGTTTGTGCGATATCTTCTCCAGTGCAGAATCCTCCAGGGCTTGACTCCCAATTAAAGTTAATCCAAATTTCTCATCTTATTTAAGCTCTTATAGTGAGGAAATAGAGCAGCTGTTAATCCCATTCTCAGTGTATCAGGCAACAAGATACTCAGAAGGAGGTACACCCAGCCTGGTTTTGTAGTGTGGAGAATGTCACACAAAGAGCATCCCATCCTGTTGAGCACCTAACACAGAAGCTTTCTTGAGTCCTGGGCCTCAGTCGGTTTTTTGCTCATTCTTTTACTCCTGTGAGTGATGTCCTGTCAGAGCAGGCGCAGTGAATTGACCACCAGGTAACGAGAGAAGAGCAGGTAGAGCTGGCGGAACCAGAGGAGTTGGCTGTGATGGAACCGCATGGCTCTCTAGGAGGAAAAACAGCGGAGAGAGCATTACAAGAACCTTCCAGAGATGATGTGAGGGCAATTTCCTGCTCCTGCTATAAGGGTCAGTGCCCATTTATAGGACAGCCTGTTTTAAGTGAACAGGGAGAGGCAGGGGAAGTGGAAGGCTGCCTAAGATCTGGGCCTGTCTGCCCCCGAGTCTGGTGTTGTCTGTCTGATGTTCTGAGGGTCCTGCTAGAAAGGACACTTTATGTGTCACTTCTAATTCCTCCTCCCCACATGATCTTAGGCCTGGGGAAGTGTTCACATGCTGGGAAGCAGGAGCCTGATAGGTGTGTTTGGGAACATCTCTGGTCCTTCTGACCACACACTGCCAGCTGCAACTGAGTCTATTTATAGTGCACCAGCCTAAAAAAGTCAGATTTCAGGAACAATACATGGGAATAATGAACACCACCTTTATCCAAGCTGCTTCCATCAGTAACTCTATCCTTTAACAGCCTCAGAAGCAGGATAAGTCTGTAATTTGAATTAACAGCACTGTTTTCTGTGTAAATATTTTCATGCTACGGAAGGGGAGTTAATCAGATATAGGGAACTGTGGAGTAAATGTGTGAGATCCTGTGCAGCAAGATAGTTTAAAAATGTCCAGTAAAGGGAACTTCTGAAGAGCTTTGGACCACAAGTTCACAGTCTCTCTCCATCTTTACTGAGAGCTGTGATCCAAGGATGTTGTTCCTGGCATGCAGTCATGCCAGGCTTTTAACAGGCCACTCACAGGTTCAGAACACTGTGTTGGATCCAGTTTCCTTTGAAACGCATCCTACATCCTGGAGAGTGTAAAACTCAGTGCCCTGTGACTGAACTAAAAATCTCAGCCCTGTCCTGTCATGCAGCACATGAGCTAACCTTGCTTGTCCATGTTTTTAAAATTGCTGCAGACATTCCTCAGTGACATTTATAACCCATGGGTACAATTACTTCTGACATTCCCTGGGAATGTGACACTTGTGACTGAAGTGCTCACAATGAGGATGAGCCAGTCAAGCAGGTGCCACATATCTCACCTTGGCTTGTTCGGTCTCCTCCTCTGTGAGGATGAAGAGTGCATCCCTGGGCAGGAGGCAGGAAATGAGGACATCCAGGAAGGAAATGTATTTCCTGAAGAGATTTACTGATTCCAGCACGAGCACACGACACCCTACACAGAGAAAAGGAATAAATATATCAGAACAGCATTCTTGTAAGGTGCTCTTTTCTCCAGGCTCAGCAGCTTCCCTGTGCTGCTGGCCTTGGGAATCTTTTTTGTGTAAAAGGAGAACAACTTCTGATGCACCCACCAGGATTTCTTTGTGCCCAGTGCACATCTATGACCATTTGCATTGGCTCTTATTCTGTGTGTGATTCTTTGTACAGTTGTTGTTCTGTAATAGCCTGTGAAAAGCAAAGCTAGCTTTGAATATCCCAAAAACTGGGTGGTTTTTTTGCTTGTAATTTAAATTCTTCCTGCATAATTAGGCTCAAAAAAATAGGTGCAGATGATTCTCTGAATGCTGACACTATATCATACAATGGAATTTTAAAACAGTAGTTTCTGGTTCAGCTACCAAAATGTAATTTCATATTTCTACTCCAATTCTTAGCTAGAGAATAAATATTTACAAACCTCAGGAATCAAATATTAACTCCAGCAGGCAGTTACACTTTAACAGAAGTTCCTGAATTCATTGCAGATGTTTGTGATGAAGCAGATGAAGGTAACGAGATTTCAAGATTCTGCTGATGTTGAAGGGCATTTTTTTCTGTTTTAAAGATCCCTTTGAACTCAAAAGTTAATTGCTATTTTTTTTTACCATTGCTAAATTGTCTCCACTGATGAGTTCAGAGCTACTGATGGTCCCGTTAAGAGCCTGCAGCTCTCAAGGGAGCTGCTTTGGGATCTCCTTGGTTTGGAAGCTGCTGTGATTATGTTCCACACTTTCCACATTATATTAAAGTTTGACAGAAGAGGCCAAAGTCACAGTTTACACAGGTGGTCACAGATGCAATTCGATTTGCAATGAGGTTTCCTTCAGTGAGCCCTGAAACAGTGAAATTACACAGAAGAGACAGAACAAAGCTCTCATGGACTCCCTCTGGCACATCTCCAGGATCTTTCAATTCCTTTCTTTCTTCTCTTTTCTCCAAGGGTGTTGTTCCAACTTTTCAGCAGTCCTCTCCCACTCTCCAGAGCCAGACCGGTTAACTCTTCATGTCAGTACCGCAGAGGGTGCTGCTCCCCCTCCACTGAAGGGGACACGGGACATTGGGACCTGACTCCCCAGCAGGTCACACCGAGCATTCACAACAGCGATTTTCTCCTGCTGTGGGCAACACTGGGCAGAGGTAGAGCCCTCAATCACCACGGTGCTTCCAGAGGCGCTGCCGAGCCCGCGGTGCCGTGCCGGGAAGCGGCGGGCGGTGCTCGGGAGCCGCCGAGAGGTGGCGGCATCCGCCGGCTGCGGAGGGGCCCGAGCGGGACCCGCATCCCTCCGGCACCTCCCGTCCCGGCCGGGCCTTAGCCCCGGCCCCGCGGGGTCACGAGCAGCAGCTGGGTAATGCCGAGAGCCCCGGGACGTGCGGGAATGTGCGACCAGCATGGCTCGGATGCCTCCTGACCGAGAACCCAAGCCCCTGTCCCGCTCACAGCCTGCCGGGACGAGGGACTGGCAGAGCTGCTCGGCTGCCATCAGCTCCAGTTGCTCTCTCAAGGGATGCTCTGCAGGCACAAGTGCTGCAGTCGCTCACAGAAGCGCCCTGACACTCCTTTTATCTCACTTGGAGATATTTCTTGTTTCCGAATAGCAACCTTGGAAGGAAACCTGCGATGTGCCATGAGTGGGGGAACCATTCTTCCCCTTCCTCTGCAGAGATCCTCTGGGCTGCTGTTGGGGTAGTTTCAGAGGGAAGAATTAGTACAGTGCTGCTCCTGTCCTCAGCAATGGCACCTGTTTGCTTTTCAAAACTTCCTTTCCTGGAAGGCTTTAATGAACTCTGGCAATGCCACATCAATTCCTACTCACAGTAATGGGAAGAGAGGCTTGGCACCACTCTCTGAAGCTTGGGCTGCTCTGTTAACCAAATGTGCTCTCCCTTTCCTCATTTTTTTCCCTGAGAAATATTAATTCATGAAGCAGTTGGACCCTTTTGTTCCCCAAAGCTCAGCAATAAGGACTTAAAACCATGGCAGTTGATTTCAGTGTGGATGGCTCTGACCTGCTGGGTTCTTCTTGGTCAGATCAGGTGAAGTGGTGGCATCCAGCTCCCCAAAAAGAAGAGCACTGTAAGAGCCCTCCGTGTCAGTGATCCAACCAGGATTTCCATGTGCTGACAGCAAAGCCTGCTCTGCATGGCAATGTGAGATGAAATAAAGCAGGGAAGGAATGTACAGTCCAGGGAGAGATGGAAAAGGGTTCAGAGAAACAGCAGCGCTGCTCCCTGCCAAGAGGGGTGAGAGCAGCGCTGTCATTGACAAGTCTGCTCCTGTGACACCAGCAGGTGAAGCTTTTCAGAGCCTGTTGTGCCTGTGACCTGGGCAGGATGGGATTAGCAGGGTAATACAACCTCTCCAGGTTGGCAGAAAGGGCAGGATCAATATAGCTCATGGATTAGGCTGAGAATAGAAGTGTGTGAAGCCCATGGCCTGCTCAGCTTGTCTTTCCACTTCCAAATCACTCAGGCAGCAAGGATGCCTAGAATGAGGAGCTCCTGAGCAAGCACTCAGTGTGCCGCAGACCTGCACTGCTTGTGATGGAATGAGGCACAGGTTCTTCTGGAAGAGCACTGGTTATAGCTGGAAGGGGCCAGTGGCAGGGGTGGGAGCACATCCAGCAGTTGTCTTGGCTTCTTGAAACAAGTGCTTGTGCCTGGGCTGGAGAACTTGATTACAGATTATAAAAAGCCTGTTGTGTTTGTGCTGGCTAAAGGCATTAGAAAGCAAAGCAGGATATTTAGGGTGCTCATTTGCCTATCACTGAGGCAATGCAAGGCTTAGCTGGCTTTTGCATTTGCAAGATTTTCTGTGGATTCCCTGATCACATGGGCTTACACAGGCTCACCCACAAACAACTCCCTCTTCCCAACAGCAGCGCAG